CGGCGACTGTATATCGGGACCACAGTCACTGGTTAGCCAGTTTCCGTGCGATGGATTCGCAAGTGACCGGCCAGGCCGATGCGTGATATACATGTGCGATAGCAAAGATATATCTGAAGGTGCTAAGCCGGTAGAGATTGTGTTACTGCCACCGGTGGTGGCCACGCTCATGGGAGAGTTGGCGATGAAAGTGTTAATGGGTGGACAAGACGTGTCGGTCTCAACGCGTATGCCTACAACTACGGTCCACGACCTGCTCTTCGTGAACAACTGCGCCCTTAACACTGAGACAGAAGAGGACATTCAATGGTGTACGGCCCTCTTCGCTGCCGGCCGCGCCAATTTCGGACTAACATTCAACATAGACAAAACGCTGGTCATGCACCCACTAGTAACCACCGAAGAATATTGCGCTCCTCGAATCAATGTCAATGCTATCTAAAATGAAAACTGTAGACAACTGTGGACAGCCCTCACCTTTCATTTAGTCTGACGACGAAGAAGTGATACCTGTTCGAAAATTCACGAGTACAACCTGATGTTCCGAAGATCTTCTTTTCAACCTTTCCTTTGTTGGAAACAGACTCGCGCAACAGTAGAAACGACAAAGAGATTGCATACCGGATCTCCAAAGCTGTCTAGGCCTTTGGCCGGCTAAAAGCCTCTGTGTGGAATCGCCATGGACTTCAATAGAACACCAAACTGAAGATGCAAACGGCCGCCGTCTTGTTGACACTCTTGTGCGGAGGAATGACCTGCCCCTACCTTCACACAAGCTAGGAAACTGAATTATTTCAATCTAAGCTATCTCTGTAAAATATTGAAGCTGAGATGGCAGGATACGATCCCGGACACTGAAATCCTGGAGCGAACGAGAATACTCAGCATCCACACCGCGCTAAAACAAGTACAACTGCGATGGATTAGTCACCTGTTGGTAATGCACGACAAACGCCTACCCATGGAGATGTTGTTACGGGTGCTCGCCGACAATGTGGACAAAAAAGACGCTACATGGACACCCTGAGGAACCCTCTCAAGTAAATCTAAATCAAACCCGGCGATCTGGGAAGACCTTCTGGGTCCGACCGGCCTTGAGAAGAACAGTGAAGAATAGTGCAACAATTTACGAAGCCGAGCGGATCGCCGTTGCCAAGGCCAAAAGGACGACCTTGAATTCATAAGCGCCTCAGACGCACACCATCAATGACCAAACCCCCCAAAATGTCCACGCTGACAACGTACCTTTCGAGCGCGCGAATCAACGCCGTCAGACATCTTTGGATGCAATGCAACAACAATAATATACCATTAAGTTCTACATCGACGAAAATCTCTCTTATCACCACAACTCTAAACCCCATGGCGGGTACCACCCTCAACACCGATATCCCACTGTCCTCGATCACCAGCACCACCCTACTTGACGCAAAACCCTATATATAGACGTCGTTGTAATCGTGGGCTGAGTCTGAGAAAAGGTCATAAACTGAAGTATACCGATTTCAATATCAGTCTCAGAGGCAAGAGAACATAAGATGACCATTCCCAGTTTAGCCCTCAGCCCTCTCCTTGAATAGTTTGAGACAGGAACTCATACTCTGTGGCCATTGAGCGTTACATCCAATGCCAATGTCGTTTGACCTTTATGCTGGCTGTTCTAGTCCTTACAACTGTATATCAGGCCTGCGGATTCCATGCATCCTCATCCAAGGTACTTGGGAGGATTTTTCACGGAGCCGAGATAACAACACCCTAGTTTGCTTAGTAAACGAACACCCATAGCGACACCGCCGTTTAACAGATACCTAAGCTGTCGCTATCATAGCGTCGCCGCTCCAACGCGGCTGTATTCACCTCAGCATGGCTTTTACACGGATAAAGTCGGTTGTTTATAGGACTTCCATGTCGAAAATCACGTCTCGCCACCTCGGCCTTTGTAGAAGCAACTGGAGAAAGGTTGGTTTGGGCACAGGTGCATATAGCTAACTCCGAACTATATACCTTATAGCGGTTGTTTATTTGAATTAAGGTAGGCCTATGAAGCGAAGCAATAGGGGCCGCCTGTGAGAAGGCTCACGCAATCAAATGGACGGTTAACAGAAAACCGACTGAAGACAAGAAAATCAACGGAAACTGTAAGATAAGGCGTTAAACGAAACTGCAGGTCTCACTACTTGTAGCACGGAAGCTGTGATCGGAAGAAATGATAGGACCTAAGAGAGGAGCGGGTGATTGCGACATGGACAACGTCATGATAGAGGATAAACTGGGTGCTTTCCCGCGACCCAGTGCGTAACTGGTAGAAAAAGTAACGAAGAAATAAGAAGCTCACGGGCGCTCGGGATTTAATTTGACCGTTCATCAACAGAAAACAGATTGATTACTGCTATAACCGACATAGCAGATGCCCGCGACGGAACTAGGAAGGCATGGGCAGCCAGGTGACATTCACTGGACTATGAAGGGGGGGGATCTAACGCAGTGGACGGAAATGTTCAGTGAGAACAACGCACGCTTCCCCCGACGCTGTTGGTGTTAAATGCTCGTTATCACACTGTCCTGATGACTCGTCCCAAGGTGCACTATCGATCGACAC